TGGAAAAGAAGAACGAAGAAGCTCCCTCACCGGAGCAATCAGCCAGGCTGCCGATTTTCGCCTTTGCACCCTCACAGATCCGGCTTAGTGCTCCCTGAACGCCCTAGCCCTATGTTCTGGCGTGCAGCTGATAGCAACGACTCGGATGCGTGATTAAAATGACGTGCCACCCATTCACCATGTTATTGTTCGAAACATACCATCATAAGTGTCATGAATTTTCTGTGGTTATCGGAAATATTGTTCTGTAAAGTGCATAATGGTTGTGATATTTTTGTAAGATCTTCTGGGCTAGTATGGCTCCTTCGCGTTGTATAGTAGCGGCGGTCCATGTACTGGCGCCGGTATTTGACGCGCAAAGTACATCGAACTTCTTGATGAATTGTTCTGCTATAGCGCTTTGGTAGGATTTGTATGACTTGGACACCTAATCAATTCAAAGTTGTTAGCTCGCCAGGTTTATGTGTTCCGAGGTTATTGAAAGCCTTCACTTTGTGCTGCCAACCGTAGGTGTAAGTGCATATACACAAGCGTGTCTTTGAAATGCATTGGTCCATTTCGTAGCGACCACACGGCCAATTCAAGCAATACTGCCTTTGCAAAGACTTCCAAGCGACAGGAAGCCAAAGTGTTTACAAGTATGGAGAGGACTAGAGTAGTGTTATAGATTAGGTGGTTTTGCTACCGAGAAACATGAGTTGTAGGGACACACCAATCAGTCCAGTGTAACCGTCCATGTGACATACCAGACAGACTAATAGCCTCGAGAATGAGAGTATCCAAAAGAGAGCGTGGCTTTCGATGGGCAGGAAAACCATCCGGGGAGGTAAGCTTGTAGCCTCAGATGATCAACGTAAGGTGCATGTGCAGCTGGTAGATGTATGAAGAAGTAGAAAGAAAAGATAAAAGTAAGAGTTTACCCACATTCACAAGCCAGACTAAAGACAGATGCCGGAATTGAAAAGGTTCGGCTTCTTCAAAGAAAACAGGTACAGGATCACACTCACCGTAAAGTACTTTCACTGGAACTAATAGAGATAAGGTGTTCTTGTTGCTCAGACCCTACAGGGCCAGAGGCAACAAGGGGGCTACAATAGGCTTCAGTATACATGGAAAAGTTGTCAACAAAGAGGTAGCTCACCGGTTTCACTTCACTGACTAGTATGGATATATGGGGGAGAGTGACTCAGGGAAAGAACTGGTAAGAATCGGTGGGTCGGGGAACCAGCTAGTCTGCAGAGGTGAACTGGATGTTACTTTCGGTAAAGTAGGAATGGTTTACAAACATGGAGAGGGGGGATATAAATATCATCTATAGAAAGTAAGGAACAGTATGGTGAGCGCCTCATGGGGTGCGGATGCGGGAAGACATGATATAGACCAGAAAGGGAAGGACCCGAATAGCTTCACCACCACCACCACCAGCATCCCACCACACCCACCAATTCACGCCCCCCAAGGGAAACCAGGCCGCCAGAATCGATACCTGGGCAAATAGGCCACCCAAGTTACCTTTTTCCAGAAAGAAAAAGGGAGCAGACAAGGGAAGTTCTGGGAAGTAATCAGCAACCAAACCCAGGGTAACCGAGTGGCTTAAAGCCGGGCCCGTAATTCTGCCTGTCCCTTAGGCCGTGTAGAACCAGAGACACTCGGGAGTCCTGGGTACGATTCCGGGCATGGGCGAGCTGGCCCTTGACACGTAGCACGTAGGCTCAAGAACGTGCCATCGTCATGCTGGAAATCGTCTGCAAAAACCGCACTAAGCGGTTTTCGTAGCCTCCTATGGGTTGGCAACCCATAGATGCAGGTGAGCTTTTTGCTTTTTTGTTTAGATAGATATATGTCCCCTACCTAATTGTGCTACTAGAGACATTTGAAAAAAAGATGCTGGAAGAGATGGGAAGAGAGTATACCATGAACATGTTTTGATTATTCGAGGGTTTGTGCCTGATTCAGGCAAACCTCTACAATTCACTGTTGGGGTTTTTTTTTTTTTTTTTTTTTTTTTCATGTCTCTCGTCTATTGTTGAATGCTTTCATTCATTTATTGACGAATAATTCGGACATAAATCCATTACTGTCGTTTGATCTGATGCTTAGATAGAAGATGCTGGTGACGACTAATATATTAGACGTAAAATGAAAAAGACTAGTATAACAGATATTGATCTCGGACATATCTGCAATAATAAGACGATGCTTGAAGTTACTGCAACTTACTAAAATGATCAAAGAAGCTGGATATAATCTACTTACAGAGCAGTCGCAGGTTTAGACGTGGACTGCTGGGCAAGAGAGGAAACAAATTACACAAGGAATTGACACCCCGAACCAGAATGACTGTTGGTTCCGAGAATTGTGGAGGTCAGGGGTTGAGAAGTCCCAGAAAGACAGAGATTACTGTGTCTTCGCCTGGCATTTTCATTTTCTTGGTCTTATGCCATTCCTTTCGAATCTCCGACTGCAACCTCAGTGATCCAGACGATCCCAATACTGGATCAGTCCAGTTGTCATTCCCCAACATTCTAATATATGATTGATATTTTGTCTTTCATATAGCACATTTTGTGCTTGGGTGATGGGAGTCGTAGGAAACCCAAAACGTACGGGATCTAGAAACGGGCTCCTTGCAGTCGGGCAGCAGAACACGATACAATAGGTACTGCTCTTTGTTCACTTTGGATCCTGAGCGCAGATCAGGCCAGGTCAATAATGTCTTGCCGATGACATTGTATGTCTTAGCCGCTGCTGCCCACTCAGCTTTATTTTTGGAGCATGTAAAAAGCATAATATAAGCAACCAAAGGGCAATTAAGATAGTGAAAAGAATGAATGCTACTTTGCATAGAAAAGATAATCCAAGTATTTGACATTGGTAATAAGGGGGAAAAAGAATAAAAACTAAAAAGCATGAAGTATTGAGTGCTCTGTAGTAGGTTGTTGTCGTTACACAAGTAAACGCAGAAACTGCATAAGGAAAAACGCGTGGGGAAAGTGCGGTGGAGGACATAGTCGTACTCACCCCCGGGTCTCCAAAGGACGGCTCAGGTAGAGGCGAAGAAAAAAATCAATCGGCGCGCTCTTCTTCCATTCAAAGCTGTACAATTTCGACTGTCTACTGACCAGCTTTTCTTGGACTATGCATGCAGTAAGGATTCTTGCGTGCTGAGGAAGGACAAAAGAGAAGAGAAGTACAGGAAAGTACTCTTCATTAGGAAAGAGATATGGATATTCTTCTGTCCCTTCACCATCGTTTTCCATAAGCCTCCACTTCTCTGTCTCTGAATCTACCTTGCGCTGATTCGCGCGGCCTCGCATAGCAAAAACCAATGCACTGAATTCAGAGAAGAGTATGGAGTCTTCCCGAGCTTCCTTCGTATCAATGAGATGAATAGCCAGATGAGGATAGGCTTGCCCATCAACAGGCCTTGGTTCTGGCTCTAAGACCCTGGAAACAGACCACCAATCACGCCCCTTACCGTAAGGACATGTGAGACCCGTTTCCAACCAAAAGGTACTGTCTGGTGCTCTGACGCAAAATGTTAGCAGAAGAAGCATGTTTGCCATGGAGTGATATTATTTGCAAGGAGCGTACTGAACAAATTGAAGCTCTTGATGAATCATCACCTCACGGGTCGCACGATCATGGATAAGGCTAGCTATCTGACTACAGCGGAATTTGGGCGACAGTTTGCCGATGAACTGATCAATGTTCGCAAATCCGCGTATCTCAGGATAGGATTTCCGTAATTGATTTGACTCCATAGGACGAAAAAAGACCGGAGGAAAGATTGTAGAACAAGTCTCGGGATTGTCCAACTGCTCAAAGTCAAACCGAATTACATGTTCAACACACTTTAGATTGTGGATATTCACATGACCATCGGTAGGCACATATCTTCTAAGTTCCATGACTTTGTCAAACAACTTGTCGAGACCACGGCGAACCCTCGAGACAGTTGACAGCATCGACAATGATCTTTGAGACATCGCGTATGTCTTGTGTTGGTGTGTGCTTGATCTGGTCTACACAAAAGAAAGATTGTAGCCTTGTATCCTGGGACAGGCAAATAAGTGGATCATGCAAGATTGAGGGGTGTGTAAGTGCTTTCTTTTCTGTGTGATGTGAGTTTATCTCCATCTGCGATGGTATCACGTGGACGGCTCTTTGTGTAATGGAAATTGTCAAGCAGGAGCCACGGGGTGTCTTATTTTACTGTCAGCATCGAGAGTATAGCCCCCATACTATTTATTCGGAAGATCACTATAGTCGATCTAATCAGTAAAGCGAAGAGTTTGTTTGGCATTTCCCGCCGAGCAGAGGCAGTAGTGGAAATGACTTTGTGGTAGCAGATAGTATTCCATGGGCAGAACTGAGCAGTAGTGGAGAGCACCATTTCATGCTAGATAGACCTAAAGCAATTCCCGTGATTAACTAACCATATGAATTTTATTAGATTAGAGGATTCATCAGAAAGAATAAAGGGAGGGAATGTTCCTGAAGGTTTCTTTTGGGGTCCAACTTACTATCAGCTGAGATACTCACTCCCTGTCCAGATAACTAACAAGCAGCTCAAGAGTAGTAACTACCATCTGGAGTTTGACCAGGAAGTGGCTCACATAAACGGCAGGAAATCACCGTGTTTGTCATCAAGTGGTATATTTTTTGTCCGCAACATTAGGGAGAGACATTTAGGTAAAATGCATGCCTACAGTAGGCGTATCTTCCAGACATTAATGGATAGTACATACCCATTCTATGGCATCTCCCACATACTTAGCAGGTCAAATTTCGCTGAAAACCGCCGTGCAATTCTTGAAATTGCTGAACAGCGAACATGGGAGAGAAGATAAATCGGGGTCTCGGGGTATTGATACCCCGCAAGAACCTGGACCAATCATCGTTCCAGGAAGAGGGTATGACCGTAATTAACTAATCTCCAATTCCTTTCATCTGCCTCAAACACACGATATGCAATCTAAGCAACTAGATTGAACTAAAGTCAACAGCTAGATAAATTGGCTAGTTATCAAGCTAGTCAGTCGGTGAATCAGCAGCAAAAACAATGTCCTCCTCATCCATCAACCCGGACGACATCAATCTGCTAGCGCAATTTCTAGCCCACGAACAAATCCCAGCATCATCCCACCCCCCAATCAATACCGACTGCATCGTGATATGTGTCTCGGCTGTGCTTTATCCCGCAGAAGCCGTCTTCAAACACCTAGAGCGCAACCCCCAATTAACTAAAACACTCGTTCTATGTGGTGGAATCGGCCACTCCACGCCTCATCTCTACGAGGCCGTATCGAGGCACCCAGACTACGCACACCTCGTCCCAGAAATCACAGGCAAGCCAGAATCTCACGTCCTGCATACCATCTTCACGCGATGCTTTGATGCCACTTTTATTCAAAAATCCGGCTGCACGGTTCTACTAGAAGATAAGTCCACGAATTGCGGACAGAATGCCTTAGAAACACGGGCATTATTGGCAAGGAACGGCATCCCGGAACCTAAATCTATGATTGTTGTGCAGGATCCGACCATGGCTCGGCGGACGGTTGCCTCATTTGAAAAGGCGTATGCGCCGAGCCCCCCGAAGTTGCTCAGCTGGCCGATAATAGTGCCTCGAGTTAAGCTTGAGGAGGGTGAGTTGGTATACGATGATGATGGTAGTATGCCAGGGGTGACGGGAACATTGTGGAGTATGTCACGCTTCTTGGGTCTGGTTCTGGGTGAGATTCCACGGCTGAGAGATGATGAGCATGGGTATGGGCCCATGGGGAAGGGGTTTATTGGTCATGTTGATATTCCGGAGGAGGTTGAACACGCGTATTCTAGGGTCCAACGGGGGATAGGAGAAGATTCGGCAAAGAGATAGATTGGTCGTTTTCAGGTTGTGTTGTGGCTGTGGTTTTACTATGGGGAATCTCGCGATCGGAACTGCCGAGATATCCACTAGAGACCCATCTTCATGATACCATGTTGTCTGTATCAGACGCGTACTTACATAGAAATGTATTGTAAGTAGCCGGTGTGCTACGTACTGTGGTGTATATAACGGTATATAGTAGGTAACATATGGTACCATACGTAAGCAGATACGGCATCTCCCATCCGATGCACTTCTTGTCTCTATTAAATCTTCAACCGAACACAAGCTTCAAAGGTCTGCAGGTACGTAAGCTTGAATCCGAAATCCATGGCCCCTTGTCGACTGATGTGTGCACGTTCCTGCAATCATGAGACTCACCAACGGTAGACCCTGACTCGTGGATTGCCAAGCGACCCTGTCGAACCGCTAAAGGGACTTAGTTCTTGACTCTTCGTCAGCTCCGACATGATCATCGCTGCAATATCCCCTTCGAAGTAGCCGAGCGCCCGTCAGCGCTCGTTTCGAAGCCGGCGGGGTCCCTGCTCCTGAGTCGATTTCTCCGTGAATAAGGAACTGTTCTGAAAGGCCTGAGCTAAAGCTTGACCTCTGATTCACGAGAAGAAAATGATCGGCATCGGTCCAGGAACGGGAAACCAACGGGACGAAACAATGAATTCAGAATTAATATCGAGGAACCCTGCCGTCTCTCACCGTCGTGTCAATCCTTGCAGCCACCTCATATGAGCTGAGGTGACAGGGGCGGCTATGGATTCTCCGGTGGGAGGAGCTGCCCTCGAGGTATGTGGCATACTGGATGCTTATAAAAGGCCAGCGGCAATTGCTGCGATCGGTTGAGACCAAGCAGAGAGACACTTGCAAAGTAGCTTCTCACCATGCCTGCTCTTTCCATCCTCGCTCTCGCCCTCGCCCCGTTGCTGGTCAACGGCCAGCTCTCCGGTAGCGTCGGTCCGCTCACTTCGGCACACTCGAAGGCTGCGACCAAGACGTGTAACATCCTGGACTATGGTGCTGTGGCGGACAACTCCACCGACATTGGGTCCGCCCTCTCAGAAGCCTGGGATGCGTGCTCGGATGGAGGTCTGATCTATATTCCTCCTGGTGACTATGCGATGGATACCTGGGTGTCTCTGTCAGGAGGCAAGGCGACCGCCATCATCCTGGACGGTACTATTTACCGTACTGGCACCGATGGAGGTAATATGATTCTAGTGGAGAATTCTTCCGATTTTGAGTTGTACAGCAACTCGTCCTCTGGTGCCGTCCAGGGATTCGGATATGTGTACCACCGGGAGGGCGATCTTGATGGGCCACGGATTCTGCGACTCCAGGATGTGAGCAACTTCGCGGTGCATGATATCATTCTCGTGGACGCGCCTGCCTTCCACTTCGTCATGGACGACTGCTCCGATGGAGAAGTGTATAACATGGCTATCCGGGGTGGTAACTCGGGAGGCTTGGATGGGATTGATGTGTGGGGTAGCAACATCTGGGTTCACGACGTATGTTCCACATCATATCACAATGGAAAGCTTCCAGTGCTGATTCATGTACCCAGGTCGAGGTGACCAACAAGGATGAATGTGTCACGGTCAAGGTAGGGCCCACCTGGTATGACCATCCCTAGCTCGGTTACTGACAACCCGCAGAGCCCTGCCAACAACATCCTAGTGGAAAGCATCTACTGCAACTGGAGTGGAGGTTGTGCGATGGGTTCTCTCGGCGCTGACACCGATATAACTGACATCCTGTACCGCAACGTTTACACCTGGAGTTCCAACCAGATGTACATGATCAAGAGCAATGGCGGTAGTGGGACAGTCAAGAACACCCTTCTAGAGAACTTCATTGGTATGTCTGGCCCACTCGAACTAGGTATATATAGCCCCCGGCTAATGCGTTGCAGGACACGGAAACGCCTATTCTCTGGATATTGACAGCTACTGGAGCAGCATGACAGCCGTGGATGGCGACGGCGTGGAACTGAGTAACATCACATTCAAGAACTGGAAGGGAACGGAGGCGGATGGTGCCGAACGCGGGCCCATCAAGGTGGTATGCTCGGACACGGCCCCTTGCACCGACATCACCATCGAGGATTTTGCCATGTGGACCGAAAGCGGCGATGAGCAGACCTACACCTGCGAGTCGGCGTATGGTGATGGATTTTGCCTCGAAGACAGCGATTCCACCACCTCGTACACGACCACCCAGACTGTCACCACGGCGCCCTCAGGATACTCGGCCACCACGATGGCAGCGGATCTCACCACGGACTTTGGCACGACCGCGTCCATCCCCATCCCTACCATCCCGACTTCCTTCTATCCCGGCGTGACGGCGATCAGTCCCTTGGCATCGGCTGCCACGACAGCTTGAAATCGAGAATGATTCATTCTTTGCTACCCTTTGGCAGGGGTGGAATAGGTGAGGGCAGGTGTGTACAGTGTGTAGATAGTTAACCAGTGAGTAAATGAGTAATTAATAACACATTTAACTGGCGGTGTATCTCTCAAGATGATTTCATTTCCTTTACTTCAAGATCTGCATCCTGAGGATGGAAGAATGCGCAATTCATGCATATATAATGCGTGATTGGCTGGCGATGAAAAGAAATGAGACCATCGGCCCTGCAGATCCCGCCATCTTAAGGTTTCTTCCGTGAGTTTTTCTTTGATGCTCATCTCATCCTCGTGTCTTGTGTAATCATCCATCATTAATCACCGTGCACATCCTCCTCCGCATCCGGATGTCTTGTTTCTTGTCGCTTCTCTCCCTCTCCACTTCCCCTTCACTCCTTCTTCACTTTCTTTCACTCTCACAAAATGACATCTGTTTGGCAGCCTCACTGAACGAGATTCTGCTCCCGATCGCAAGTTGAGATGCGACCAGAAAATTGCCGCCGATAAGCTTCGCTGATTTTCTGTTTCAACCCCGCAATTCCAAACCGACCGGATCAACCCCGAGGAATCTATTCTTCAACTTGTCATCCTCACATCGCCGTGATCATGACGGGCGCATCCAAACCAGATGAGGCAGAGCCCGTGTTATCGACGCTGGAAGGGGCTTCGAACCCGCCGACGCCCAATGCTGCTGCTGCTGCCTATCGCTACAAGGCCGACCTGCTCAACCGCGCTATCCAAGACATCGGCATGGGCAGGTATCAGTGGCAGCTATTCGGCGTCATTGGATTCGGCTGGGCCAGCGACAACCTATGGCCCATCGTCACCTCCCTCATCCTCGTCCCAGTGTCATATGAATTCAGCGTCGCCCGGCCGCCATTACTGTCCCTGGCCCAAAACATCGGGCTTCTAGCCGGCTCGCTCTTCTGGGGCTTCACCTGCGATCTGTTCGGTCGGCGATGGGCCTTCAACTTGACCATTGCCATCACCGCCATTTTCGGCCTGGTCGCTGCTGGCTCACCGTCTTTCGCAGCCGTGGGCGTCTTCGCTGCATTATGGTCCTTTGGCGTTGGCGGCAACCTGCCCGTCGACTCGGCCATCTTCCTCGAGTTTCTCCCCGGTTCGCACCAGTACCTGCTCACGGTACTATCAATCAACTGGGCGCTGGCACAGCTCCTCGCCAACCTCGTCGCATGGCCTCTGATCGGCGAAATGACCTGCGCCTCCGCCGACCACTGCACCAAGGCCTCCAACATGGGTTGGCGCTACTTCCTCATCGCAATGGGCGGCCTCGCTCTCTTCATGTGCCTAGCCCGATGTCTATTCTTCACTCTCTACGAATCCCCCAAGTACCTCATGGGCAAAGGCCGCCACGAAGAATCCGTCGCCGTCGTCCATGAAGTCGCGCGTCGCAACGGCACCAGCTCCTCTCTATCCATAGATGACCTCCAAGACGACGGACCCATCTCCAGCAGCACCGAAACAACCACCACCAACACCCCCACCCCAACCCACACAACACCCAACAACGGAGCACTCAGCGCCCTCGACCACCTCCGCATGCGCCTCGAACCACTCTCCGCCCCCTACGTGCGCGCTCTCTTCCGCACGCCGCGCCGCGCCTGGTCCACGACCCTCATGATCCTCATCTGGGCTCTCGTCGGCCTCGGCTTCCCCCTGTACAACAACTTCCTCCCCTACCTGCAGCAAATGCGCGGGATCCAATTTGGCGACGGCTCAACGTACATCACGTACCGCAACTCGCTCATCATCGCCGCGGTCGGCGTCCCCGGCAGCTTAGTCGGCGGAGTGATGGTCGAGATGCCTCGATTAGGACGCAAGGGCACGCTGTGTCTCGCCACACTCTCCACGGGCGCGTTTTTGCTCGCGTCCACGACGGCGAAGACCTCCAGTGCCTTGTTGGGTTGGAACTGCGCCTACAGTTTCACTAGCAGTTTGCTGTATGCGGTGCTGTATGCCTATACGCCGGAGATCTTTGAGACGCAGTATCGCGGCACCGGGAATGCGTTGGTCGGGGGCGCGAATCGGATTGGAGGGATCTTGGCGCCGATTATTGCTCTGGTGTCGAATATGGAGACCGCTGTGCCGGTGTATGTTAGTGGGGGGATGTTTGTGCTGGCCGGGTTGTTGGTCGTGTTGATACCGTATGAGACGCGGGGGAGGATGAGTTTATAGTTGTTGTTGTTGGGAGTACACAGTGTAGGTACTAGGATTAATTGGTAGGGGGGGGTTGTATGCCGTGCTTGTATGACATGGCAGGGTATATCAGGAGGTACATAAAGGGAGGGACGGGGATAGTACTTGTGATGATCATACTTTATGATGATATGAAGAATATGATATGACATACATTTACATTGAATTGACATGAAATGCCACACCCACTCCCTCTCCCTCCAGCAATACCAAACAATTAGATAGTAAGTACCAACTACCCAACAGCACCCAACCCCCCTAAGAGCAGAGAAACCATTTATCCCTGAGCAAAACCAATCTGCATAAAAAGCCATAATCCCATACCTGCCTGCATGCATGCCTACACGCATACACACACATAATGCACAC